GGCCTCATTCACAAGGCCTTCAAACCGAGGAGGATTTGAAAGCCTTGGGAATGAGACCAGTTGGGAATTGCGTGAGACTAGCGAAGGGGCATGGCTTCCCTTTTGCTGTCGGCCATTCTGCTGCCTCTTACCTGACAGCAGACCCATTTATTTATTTGCTATATTTATATACTGCCCCTCTCAACCCACAGGCGACTTTAGGCGGTTCACAAGGCAGCAATTCAATGTCCAACAACATCATAAAAACATTTAAAACATTTTAAAACATTGTCATATCATATAAGACCGTAAGAAGTTAGTAAAACAAATCATTTTCGTTTCCTAGATAAAAACGTAATCTGATCTCAACATGGGAGACAGTATTGAGCCCTGACGAACCCCACAAGACAATGGTTGTGAGGTAGAACTGGTGTCGTCCAGTAACACCTTCTGGGTACGACCTTCTAGAAAGGACCGGAGCCACTGTAAAACAGTACCTCCAAGGCCCATTCCCGAGAGGCATCCCAGAAGCATACTATGGTCGACGGTATCAAAGGCTGCTGAGAGGTCCAGCAGAACCAACAGGGACACACTCCCCCTGTCTAGCTCATGGCTTAGATCATCAACAAAGGCAACCAAGACTGTCTCGGTTCCATGTCCCAGTCTAAAGCCAGACTGTGCCGGATCCAGCTAATCTGTGTCTTCCAAGAATCCCTGGAGTTGTGAAGCAACTACACATTCCAGGACTTTGCCCAAGAAGGGGAGATTGGAAACTGGCCAATAGTTGTCGAATTGAGTGGGGTCCAGTGATGGCTTTTTCAACAGCGGTTTTATTATAGCTTGTTTTAAGCTCGCTGGAATATTGCCTTCCTGAAGGGAAGCATTAACCACCACCTTCACCCACTCGGCCAATCCCCCTCTGGCTTCCTTTAAAAGCCAGGATGGGCAGGTGTCTAGGATGCATGTGGTTGGCCTCATCTCTCCAAGTATATTGTCCACATCCTTGGGTTTCACCAATTGAATTGAATCCATCAAAATCGGACAAACAGTTGCTCGTGATACATCCTTAGAGACTGCCGTGAACATAGTGTCCAGACCAGAACGGATCAAAGCAACTTTGTCTGCAAAGAACCGAGCAAATGCTTCACAGCAGGCTGCCGAATTGTCAGGGCTCCCATCCTGAACTATGGGATTTAAAAGTCCTTTGACCACTCAGAATAGCTCCGCCGGACAGTTCCTTGAGGATGCAATATTGGCCGCAAAGAAAGATTTCTTTGCGGCCTTTATTGCCGCGGCATATGCCCTTAGGAGGGCATCAAGCCGTGACTCACTTGGATCCAAACACCACATGCCCTCTAGACTCCTCTTCCTTCACTTCATCGCTGCCAGCTCTTTGTTGAACCAGTTTAGCTTGGCTACTTGAGAGGGGACATTCTGGAGCAATCGTGTCTATTGTCCTAGTCATCTCCCCATTCCAGAGAGTGACCAGGGCATCAACAGGATCACCTACCGAGGTGGCGGGAAACTCCCCAAGAGCTGTCAGGAATCCATCCGGATCCATAAGCCTCCTGGGGCGGACCATCTTAATGGGTCCTCCACCCCTGCAGAGGTTAGAGGGTGCAGTAAGTCTAAACCCATTGGTACAGGCAAGGTTGTATAATGGAGGCGGGCCGTGGGACAGCCAACAGGACAAGGAAGCCATTCCCCTTCTCCAGCCTTGTATGGTTCCCAGCTGCCTGCCTCCCTGATGTGACCATGGCTGTACCGTTGGGTGCATTACATTTAACACCAATATTTTTTGTGTGATGTGCACCTTCATAAATGAGATGGCACAATGGGTTAAACCCTTGTGCCAGCAGGACTGATGACCAACAGTGGAGAGCGGGTTGAGCTTCCTCTGTCAGCTCCAGCTCCCCATGCGGGGACATGAGAGAAGCCTCCCACAAGATGGTAACATCAAACATCAGGGCATTCCCTGGGCAACGTCCTTGCAGATGGCCAATTCTCACAGAACAGAAGCGACTTGCAGTTTCTCAAGTTGCTCCTGACAGGAGGGAAAAAAGAGATGTGCTTATGTATGGCGCATACTACCTGAGTAAATATGGTAGTTACGTCTTTCTTATCTCATTGATTTTTATAGTACCTATTAATGAAAATAGTTATTGTTCCCACCTCACTATTACAGTATAACAGGCCACCCTATACACTTGTTGCTTAGTTTTGAAATTATATCTTCTTACTTGGTAATCTCCATAAAGTCACCGAGTCTTATTCAGGTTTGCTAAGGGCATTTGAAAACTGACCTTCCTTACATAGAAAGTGGTTGATTTGCTACTGATTTTTATTGACCATATTCAACCTTGGTCCTCTTCCTGAAATAAATGTGCCTATTCCGAATTGGAACTTCATCACCTTTAAGGAGCAAACCTATTTTTAGATGCTAGTCCTCTACTTTTGCAGCATTGGGAGACGGCTCAATATTTCATTGATTTCCTCTGTCTTTCCTAGTGCATCTTGATCACCTGGCAGGGCAGTTTTCTCCTTGAACCATTCACACATACTTCTTATGTTTGTTTGGGACTTTAAAAAAATCCTTGAACAGAAATATATTTGGAAAACGTGCAATCCCCATGCCCCTATTTCTGCTTGGATATTAAGGATTCTAGGAAAGCAGATCTTTAAGCTGCTGTTGAGCTGGCACTTGAGTCCCAGATGTGGCTGTCCTGGTGGCCCGCTTTGTGCCATTTGCTGGAGCATTTTCTGTAAGCGGGTTCAGACAACATGTCTTCGGACCAGGGGCTAAGGACAGGTGGTTTCCCGCTGCTTCTGCTCACAAACACAGCTGGGATCTGAGGAGAGAGTTGTAGCTCTTCCATTTGCTTCCCTGGAGGGACCTGACAGTTCTTGCTTTCTGTGCTGGGCCCAGCATTCAGGTGCATCTGCCCTTCTCCTAGGAAGTGGACTGCAGGCAAAGGGAGATGCCGAGCACTTCCTTTGGGCGCTGCTCCCCTGATGTGTCTGAGCCACAGGGATTCGGCTGACTGAATGATAACACTGTTCTACAAATTTTCAGTTTTTCTCAGTTACGGAAACGAAATGTGCCGTTTCTTAATAAATTTAACATGCTGAATTCAAATATAATAATTAAATGTGTTAATTGGCTCTGGTTTTTATGCAACAGCTATTTCAATTTTCTCCACAATAGGTAATTCGTTAATATTATGATAATGCGCCTAACCTTACTGCATGTATATAAACCGTGAATATTTACTAAATTTTAGTCAAATTATATTGCCAATAGTTTATACATGAGAAATATTTATTTAATTAGTCTATTGTTTATGTTTGTGCAGCAAGAAACTATATTAGTAGGCCTAATGCAGTTGAAAAGTCTGAAAGTTTAAATGTCGCTTTAATTGTGACCTTAGTTTATATCCTGTTTGCTTCTCTTGACTTTTCTTTTGTATTCAAGGAAAGGATTGTCTCTTACAATGCTCCAGCAGTTGTCTGACAGCATTGACGGAGTCCATTTGCCTTGATATCTTTTTTACATAGTGCTTTATTTACACACGTGCGAGGCATAACTACAGTAAAAAGAACAATGTAAAACGATGTTTAACGATACTGTCTCAGTCTTCAACTGACTGACCCTCACCGTTCAAAAGTCTGGCCTTATATAGGGCTTTCTGGCTTTTGCACACGGCACTAATACTGCGTCATCAAACTTTCTAGAGTATTCTAGAATCTTCCATAGTGTAAGTCGCAACATGCATTTTTTCAACCATACGTGATCACGTGATTGCTTATATCATAAAAACTAGAGCCAATATACATTTTTAAATGTCATTTTTGTTTTCAGCACCCCAAAATCATAAAAGAACAACTATTTTCAGGCCCGAAACGTTTTCTCCGTTGAACAGTGTAATCGGCTGGTGGACCCGCGGCCTGGACGGGAGTGTTGCTGCCTGTTTGGGGCTTCTTTTTGTGTGTAGGGTAGCCCACTTTTTCAGCTTCACCTGGTCACTTGATTATTTTTCCTTTGAAAGGATTATTGTGCCCTAAAAGGCAGGTTAGAAAACGTTTACTATACAAATGTATGTGGAAACACGTGGTAAATGTGTCTATAAAGCATCAGATGACACATATTCCAGAATCAGAACTTGGGAAAATTCCTTTTGGGAATGCACTCCCAGAATCCCCCTGTCAGTATAGCCACATGAACAATGTAACTCAATGTTTGTGATACAATTACATAAACTTTTTTGTGTTGTGCTGATAGAAGTCTTTATTTGCTGATTGCACTAATGACAAGTCTCAGCATTTCTCCTATGTGCAATTAACTGACACATTTTTAATTTATGTTTTGGTAATATCGGAAGGATATTCATGGGCCTTAGGAAAATGTCATAGTTTGAAGCACTTTGGAAATATATATTTTTACAGTGGTTTCTTGGTCACCACTAGGTTTTGGTTACAAGACCCCTTGTGGATACCAAAATCTATGGATACTGAGGTCCTATTATGTAACAGAACATAGTAAAATGAGTGATATAAAATGGCAAATCCATATTGCTTTTTGAAAATATTTATTTGAGTCTAATGCGCCATTGAATCAAATGCGCACCTCAATTTTCGAAATCCCCCAAAAGTAATTACCATATTACACGAATCTAATATGCACCCTAATTTTGGGAAGGTAATTAGTAAAAAAAAAAAAGGAGCATTAGAATTGAGTAAATACGGTATTTTGATGTTATGGGTGATTGAAGATGTGGATATGGAGGATCAGTCATATACCATGCTGGCTCCTTCCCTATAGGATAGAGTAGCAAAGGGATGGCAATCAGAAGCAGTTTTTTCATAAGCTTGTTCTGCTTTGGAAGTTTTCCAAGCCCTGCTGCTTCTCTCTCTCTCTCTCTCCTTCCCTCCCTCGTTTCCTACACTTCCAGCTTTCCTGCTTTTAAAAAGCAAGAGGGTGTTGATGCGTTTGCTTCTGTGGCTCCAGGACTCCTCCTTCTTGAGGTCCAGCCCTAAACAGAGTACTCACTGTGGAATGACAGGCATTCCTCCTCCTCGGAGAGAGCTGGCATGGGAGCTTGCTTCTGAGGATCACATCAAGTGCCCAGGCCAGGGGTACAGGAAATAGAAGTGGTGTGTGGAGAGGAAGGGGATTTTGACCAACACCCCTGTCCAGTTTCCTGAGCTTGCTCCGTTTTTGTCTGGAGAACAGAGAACTTTTTTTACGCAGAGGAATTCATTTGCCGCTTCTCAGACTTATGTCTGTTTCCGGAATAGGCGCTCCTTTTTTCTGTTTTCTTTCCCTGAGCCTCCCTTGAAGACTCACATAATGGGGCAGACGCGCTACTCAAGACCGGTAGATCCAGCTCCCTCAGGTGAGTAATGGAGGGTCTGGTTGCTGCTGAAGGCGAGGCGAAAGTGGCAGGTGAAGCCAAACAAGCGTGCATGTCACAAAAGAATGCCAGGATTGTGTTAACCTGCGCTAAGGGGCTTCTGCATATGCAGAGGTGTTGAGCAGGATTGTTTTCCTGATCCTTTGGAGAAAAGAAACTGGCTGAGTTTGGAGGTTTTTGACTCTTGATGGCATGACTACGCTCCCCGTGGGACAGTTTTCAGTGTTCTATTGCTAGGAGCTATTCCTTTTGATCTCGCTCCATGCTGCTGCTTACCAAATGGTCAGTTGTAGGAGTCGTTGGCTTAAAAGAGTTGAGCAGAAAACACAGAGCAACACTTTGTCCATTTAGCTGGAATTAAATAGTTTATGCCAAGTAAGAGTTGCCAGTTGGCTATTCCTCCTCAGCACAAGTAGGACTGAGGTTAGGAGAAGATTGTAAGCGTTGTCTGCGTTCGCTGCTTTTCTGGGGTTGCAAAATAATTGGGAATGAAATGCAAAGGTAGTGGAGATGGAGTGGAGAGGAAAATACATTGAAATGTGATGTCCCCAGTCAACAGTCTCCAGAAAGATTACCCCAAACGTTTATGGGGTTTGGGCAAATATGGCAATGAAGTTTTTGTTGCGGCTCCCATGCATGTTTAGATCTTTGATGTGGCAGGAAAGGATCCAAAGATACATATAGAACTCGAGGAAGGGGGCCTCAATGTCACCTCCCTCCAGAAGCACTAATGTCTAGCAGAGTTATGTGTAACATACCACCAGTCTTCCAGAGAAACATTTTACTATTCTATTATTATCCCACTCTTCTTTAAAAGGGCGTAGGATGGCATCGCCCAGCTGTTTTCCTCCCCAACTCATGTTCATGGCAAGCTTGCAAGGTAGATCAGGTTGAAAGAGTCATACAGTGAGTTTGATGGTTCATTGAGGAGTATGACTCAAATCTCCAAATCTTAGTCCAACATTGTAAACACCTCGTCCCATTGTTTGAGACCACGGTGGGAACCATCTTTAATGCTTTTGGGCACAAGTGGTTTGAGTAGGTTGTTCCCCACGTGGGGCATTCTTTGCCATAAGTCTTTCTTTCTGTGTGTCTGCTGCGGGCTTTTCTCCTCCTTGCTAAGATATGTCCTAGGCTTGATTCAGCAGACATATTTTACAAGTATATGACTTTATCCTAGGACAGCATTTCTCAACCTGGGGGTTGGGACCCCCGGGGGGGGGTCGCAAGGGGGATTACAGAGGGGGTTGCCAAATACCATCAGAAAACATATATTTCCAGTGGTTTTAGGAACCCCTTTGGCAGAAAAGGCTGAAAATCTCTCTGCCTGTCCCTCTCTTCCTTTTTGGAAACAGACTGTGAATCCTCTCACCAGAAGCCCTCCTCAGCTGTGATTAACCGGCGCCTCACCTGGGGGCGGGGGGGGGGGCTGATTCTGAGCCTCTGAGTAGGGAGGGAAGAGCAGGTGTGCTTGGCACATAGCAGTGTGTTGCGCATGTGCATGTGAAAGAGAGCGTGCAAGGCTGGAGGGAGGCTTGCATCAGCGAGTACCTTCAAGCCATGGAGGTTCTGTGTGGAAAATTTGTCCCAATTCTATCGTCGGTAGGCTTCCAAATACTCTTTGATTGTAGGTGAACTATAAATCCCAGCAACTACAACTCCCAAATGACAAAATCAATCACCTCCAACCCCACCAGTATTCACATTTGGGCGTTTTGGGTATTTGTGCCAAATTTGGTCCAGTGAATGAAAATACATCCTGCATATCAGATATTTACATTATGATTCATAACAGTAGCAAAATTACAATTATGAAGAAGCAACGAAAATAATTTTATGGTTGGGGGTCAGCACATGAGGGGGGGACTGGTCACAGAACAACGGGTTCAAGGAGGCCTTAGGATTGGCTTTTGGTGGTACCGATTGACAGGAGCCCCTGGAGGCGCAGTGGGTTAAATCCCTGTGCCGGCAGGACTGAAGACCGACAGGTCACAGGTTCGAATCCGGGGAGAGGCGGATGAGCTCCCTCTATCAGCTCCAGCTCCTCATGCGGGGACATGAGAGAAGCCTCCCACAAGGATGATAAAAACATCAAAATCATCGGGCCTCCCCTGAGCAACGTCCTTGTAGACGGCCAATTCTCTCACACTAGAAGCGACTTGCAGTTTCTCAAGTCACTCCTGACACAACAAAATAAAAAAGCACAACATGAGGAACTGTATTAAGAGGTTGCAGCATTAGGAAGGCTGAGAAACACTGCCCTAGGAAGTGATTGAGTTAGTAAATGTGGTTGTTTATAGGTTTAAAACCTATGTTGTGATTTATGTGACTTATTGTGCATCCCTTTTAGGCACCCTGGCTTGTACTGTTTTGGGGGTGTTGGATTTGCTATATAGCAGGGGTCCTCAAACTAAGGCCCGGGGGCCGGATGCGGCCCTCCAAGATCTGAAACAACTTGAAAGCACATAACAATAACAACAATCCTATCTCATCAGCCAAAAGTAGGCCCACACTTCCCATTGAAATACTAATAAGTTTATATTTGTTGAAATTGTTCTTCATTTTAATTATTGTATTGTTTTTAAGTGGTTTTTTTGCACTACAAATAAGATATGTGCACTGTGCATAGGAATTCATTCATGTTTTTTTCAAATTATAATCCGGCCCTCCTACAATTTGAGAGACTGTGACCTGGCCCTCTGTTTGAGGACCCCTGCTATATAGTCCCTAGCATACCGGATTTAGTAGCAACTTCTTTCTTTGTAAAAGTAACTGTTTTCTTATCGTTTGTCCTCCTGGATTCCAGGTGGTTTGGAACAATAATGTATAGGTACTTAAAATAACGTGGAAACTTCTGATAATTGGAAATGCTAATAAATTTATTATTTCTAGTTTTTGAAGTGGGCTCTGACCTGTGAAAACTGAAATTATAAATGTTGAAAGTACCACAAAACTCTGTGTTACTTTTGCTCATGTTTACTTTTGCTGTAACAGGCAAACACTAGTACTATTGAACACCAAGAATTAACTTTTTCTAACTTTCGTGACTACATCTCTGTCTCTCACATATTATGTGTAGATGGCATTTGAGGATATGCTTAATATAGTGTATTGCAGGCATGGGCAAACTTGGGCCCTCCAGATGTTTTGGATTTCAACTTGCAGAATTCTTAACAACCTCAGGAAAGGGCCTGAGGTTGTTAGGAGTTGTGGGAGTTGAAGTCCAAAACACCTGGAGGGCCCAAGTTTGCCCATGCCTGATGTATAGTATCAGAAATCGCCATTATTACTTTGGAGTAAGGATGACCATCTGCACACTCAGAGCAAATTTAATGTGAAGTTTCTAAAAATACTGGAGCATACTGAATATGTGCTTGTTAATGATATTGTGGATGTGCAAGGAAATCAACATTTCTGTTCTGGATGTTTAAAATAATCTTCCGTTTTCAGACAAAATAATCATCTGGCAAGCACTCCCTTCACATGACTTTCCCCTGTGTTTCCTGTGTAAGGAAGTGCCATCCCCCTTGATCTCCTGTGCCCAGATTCTTACAGCATGGTTAGCTCCTATGGATTAAACTAGCTTTTTCTTCTTCCTACTCACTGTCCCATAAGCTGTTCATCAAGTAATATGGGAGGAGGTGGAAACAAGCCTTCATTTCAGTTCATGTTTGGTATCATTTCCTTGTTGCAGGAATTTATCCAGAACACCTTCATCTGGGGTATAAGATAGGATACCATTGTTCAGTTTCATATTTTTACCAAATCCCAGAGATGTTCTATTTTCAAAGTGAATATCTTCAGTTTCTCCATTTTGGAGTCGCTTTGATTTCCCCCCATTTCGTTTGCAACTGCTGGACAGCCATTTTCAATGTGTTAAAAAGGAAAGTTTTGATTTTTTTTTTTTAAAAAAAATAAAGCTCTCAGAATTCTCCAGCTAACAACACCGCTGTCCAAGCTGATTGGTAAAATTGGGAAATTGTCATTCAAAATCCCATGATCAATGTAAGTTGATTTTTAAAGGCAGTTCTGTGATACCTGTGTCATTAGTGAAACAAGCAGTTCAGATACAATTGGAAACAAGCGGTTCAGATACAAATGCAAAGTCCGAACATATCTCCGTCTATGAACCATCTCGGAGGCTAAGATCATCCAGGGAGGCCCTGCTCTCGATCCTGCCATCTTCACAGGTGCAACTGGTGAGGACAAGAGACGGGGCCTTCTCAGTGGTGGCCCTTCATCTATGGAACTCCCTCCTCAGGGAAATTAGATCAGCGCCCTCCCTCTTGGCTTCAGAAAAAAAAGCAAAAACATGACTGTGAAACCAAGCGTTTGGGCAGCAAGCAGGACAAGAAACGAACACAGATTATGTGCAACTGTTATTTGATAAATTTTAATGTTTCTATTAATACGTTTTTAATTCCTTGTTTTAATGTTTAAATGTAGTTATGTTTTATGTTTTAATTTATAGCTTTATGTTACTATTGTTTTATGTTAGGTTTTCATGTTTGGTAAGGCATTGAATTTTGCCGTGAATATGCTGGAAACCATTTTGAGTCCGCCCCCCCCCCCCCCCCCCCCCCCCAGGGGTGAGAAAAGCTGTATATAAATGAAGTAAATGGTTCAAGATTGGGAAAGGCGTACGGCAGGGTTGTATACTCTCACCAAACCTATTCAACTTGTATGCAGAACACATTGTGCGATGTGCAGGGCTTGACAAATGCAAGGCTGGGGTGAAAATGGCTGGAAGAAACATTAACAACCTTAGATATGCAGATGATACCACTTTGATGGCCAAAAGCGAGGAGGAGCCGAGGAGCCTTCTAATCAAGGTGAAAGAAGAAAGCGCAAAAGCTGGGTTGCAATTGAACATAAAAAAAAAACCAAGATTATGGCAACAAGAATTATTGACATCTGGGAAATGGAGAAAACATAGAGGCAATGCCAGATTTTGTATTTCTAGGTGCAAAGATTACTGCAGA